GTAGCCATTTTATTAATTGTTCAGCATTCTTATGGCTTGTGGGTACAAGCTGTTAAGGAGCCTTTTGGACCTAGACTTGGCACTCCGGTACTTTTAGGGCCTTCCTCTGACACCGCCTGGTATAGAGGTCCTGGATGGCAGGAAGCTTGGCCCCAGTGATGTACTGGGCTGTACGCACTACCCTCTGTAGTGCCTTGCGGTCGGATGCTGAGCAGTTGCCATACCAGGCGGTGATGCAACCAGTCAGGATGCTCTTGATGGTGCAGCTGTAGAACTCTTTGAGGATCTGAGGACCCATGGCAAATCTTTTCAGTCTCCTGAGGGGGAATAGGCATTGTCGTGCCATCTTCACGACTGTCTTGGTGTGTTTGGACCGTGAAAGTTTGTTTGTGATGTGGACACCAAGGAACTTGAAGCTCTCGAACTGCTCCACTACAGCTCCGTCGATGTGAATGGTGGCATTCTCGGCCCTCCTTTTCCTGTAGTCCACGATCATCTCCTTTGTCTTGATCACATTGAGGGAGAGGTTGTTATCCTGGCACCACACTGCCAGGTATCTGACCTCCTCCCTATAGGCCTTCTTATACAGTTTTGTTGTTTGATAGTCATTTTCAAGAAGCGTGTGAACATTCCATCTTGTCTCAATATTGCTTTATCCATAGATATACATATATGGCTTTATCAGCTTGCAAACATTCTATTGCATAGACTAGAGAGGTTATCATATAATCAATTTGGTTAGCGGCTTGAGGGGAACCATTTAATACCATCAAACCTTTGCCACCTCAAAGTGGACACATTTTTGGGCTTGACTATAAATCACATGACACTGTATGAAATAAAAGGATAATCCTTTTGGTAATACAACACTAAAGTTCTTGGTCATTAGAGCTGACATTTTCTATCACAAACTTCATTCTCTTTTGGTTCCCTTATACTCTCACCATAGCCGCGGGAAGTAGGGGTGCTGAGGGTGCTGCAGCACCCCCTGAAAAATCTGAATGAAATATATATATATATATATATAGTACCAGTCAAAAGTTTGGACACACCTACTCATTCAAGGGTATACAAAAGATAGTACTATTTGGTAAAAGACCAAGTCCATATTATGGCAACAACAGCTCAAATAAGCAAAGAGAAATGACAGTCCATAATTACTTTAAGACATGAAGGTCAGTCAATACGGAACATTTTAAGAACTTCGAACGTTTCTTCAAGTGCAGTCGCAAAAAACATCAAGCGCTATGATGAAACTTGCTCTCATGAGGACCACCGCAGGAATGGAAGACCCAGAGTTACCTCTGCTGCATAGGATAAGTTCCTTAGAGTTACCAGCCTCAGAAATTGCAGCCCAAATAAATGCTTCACAGACACATCTCAACCTCAACTGTTCAGAGGGGACTTTGTGAATCAGGCCTTCATGGTCGAAATTGCTGCAAAGAAACCACTACTAAAGGACACCAATAATAAGAAGAGACCTGCTTTGGTCAAGAAACATGAGCAATGGACATTAGACCGGTGGAAATGTGTTCTTTGGTCTGGAGTCCAAATTTGAGATTTTTGGTTCCAACTGCCGTGTCTTTGTGAGATGCGGTGTAGATGAACAGATGATCTCCGCATGTGTATTTCCCACCGTAAAGCATGGAGGAGGAGGTGTTAAGGTGTGGGGGTTCTTTGCGGGTGACACTGTATATGATTTATTTAGAATTCAAGGCACACTTAACCAGCATGGCTTCCACAGCATTCTGCAGCGATACGCCATCCCATCTGGTTTGGGCTTATTGGGACTATCATTTGTTTTTGAACAGGACAATGACCCAACACACCTTCAGGCTGTGTAAAGGCTATTTTACCAAGAAGGAGAGTGATGGAGTGCTCCATCAGATGACCTGGCCTCCACAATCCCCCGACCTCAACCCAATTGAGATGGTTTGGGATGAGTCGGATGGCAGAGTGAAGGAAAAGCAGCCAAAAAGTGCTAAGCATATGTGGGAATTACTTCAAGACTGTTGAAAAAGCATTCTAGGTGAAGCTGGTTGAGAGAATACCAAGAGTGTGCAAAGCTGTCATGAAGGCAAAGGGTGGCTATTTGAAGAATCTCAGATATAAAATATATTTTGATTTGTTTAACACTTTTTTGGTTACTACATGATTCCATATGTGTTATTTCATAGTGTTGATGTCTTCACTGTTGTTCTACAATGTAGAAAACATTAAAAATAAAGAAAAACCCTTGAATGAGTAGGTGTGTCCAAACTTTTGACTGGTGCTGTATATATATTTTTTATGTTCACAATAGTACTGGGGCTATGCCTCTCACTCTGTTACTGGGTCACACTTTATTTGGATAGTCTAAAATGATGATCTACAGATGGTCAAACTATCAACAAACTCTCTGTTGCTAAAGTGTGTTGTTAGGATTAGCTTTAGAATAAGGGCAAGGGTTAAGGTTAGTATAAGTGTTAAGGTTAGGGCTAGGGTTAGTGGATTATTAATTAATTAATTAATTAATTAATTAATATGCCATTTAGCAGACGCTTTTATCCAAAGCGACTTACAGTCATGAGTGCATACATTTTTGTGTATGGGTGGTCCCGGGGATCGAACCCACTACCTTGGCGTTACAAGCGCCGTGCTCTACCAGCTGAGCTACAGAGGACCACAGTTGGTTAAAATGCTGTTGACAGTTATTGAACATCTACTGATTATCTACAAACCATCTCCTTGGAACTATCCAAATACAGTGATACTGGTTACTGTAGCAGGCTATTGAAGCAGACCCTAACCCCTCCAATACAAAAGGCAGCTGAATGCATCAGACTCTGGTTATTTGAATACGGCATATCTTTCAGAAGGCCTCATGTTATCCACCCTCCTACGCATGTCTTACCTTTTGAAATGACCAAACACATACAGTGATGATGAATACGCACGTACGCACACACAATCTTTTTATCTCTCTTTCTCTCTCTCTCTCTCTCTCTGTTAAAGTCAGTTGGATGGTAGCAACAAAAACACAAGGCCAAGCAGACAATGGACTTTAGTGCTGCATACCGTCATACAGTCACTCTAGGAGCGGAGGGTGAGAGAACATCTTGAAGAGAGAGATGTCCCTTTGTATGTACTCAAGCTTTCTGGGGGGAGAGAGGCGTGTGTCTGTGTGTGTGTGTGTGTGTGTGTGTGTGTGTGTGTGTGTGTGTGTGTGTGTGTGTGAGAGAGAGAGAGAGAGTGTGAGAGTGTGTGAGTGTGTGAGAGAGAGAGAGAGAGAGAGACAGAGAGCGAGAGTGAGAGAGAGAGCGAGAGAGAGAGAGAGAGCTGTGTAACATGCTGCGTCTGTATGTTGAGTGTCTGCTTGACGTCCAGGTACCAAGGACAGGGTTAGGCACAGAACACACACACACACAGAGCCCCTCAACAAGGACAGGACAAGGATTAGTACAGAACCACATAACTAAATGCATCACTTGATTACTAAGTGGGTGTTCTATTACATAATTTCTGATTTAAGAACTAACCATTAAAATGTCATCACACTGTGAAAAGCATCTCTTAAAATCACGTCTGTGTCCCAAATGGCACCATATTCCCTATATAGTGTCCCACTATATAGGGAATAGGGTTCCATTTGGGACATACCCCGTTTCTCTCTCCCTGGTCCTCCTCAGTCAAATCAAATCAAATTGTATTTGTCACATGCGCCGAATACACCAGGTGTAGATCTTACAGTGAAACGCTTACTTACAAGCCTTAACCAACAATGTAGTTTTAAGAAAAATAAGTGTTAAGTAAAAAATAGATAACAAAAAAAGATAAATAAATAAACAATTAAAGAGCAGAAGTAAAATAACAGTAGTGAGTCTATATACAAGGGTACCAGTACAGAGTCAATATGCGGGGGCACAGGTTAGTCGAGGTAATTGAGGTAATATGTGTGTGTGTGTGGGGGGGGGGGGGGGGGGCAATGCAAATAGTCCAGGTAGCCATTTGATTGGCTGTTCAGGAGTCTTATGGCTTGGGGGTAGAAGCTGTTAAGAAGCCTTTTGGACCTAGACTTGGCACTCCGGTACCGCTTGCCGTGCAGTAGCAGAGAGAACAGTCTATGACTAGGGTGGCTGGAGTCTTTGACAATTTTTAAGGCCTTCCTCTGACACCGCCTGGTATAGAGGTCCTGGATGGCAGGAAGCTTGGCCCCAGTGATGTACTGGGCCGTACGCACTACCCTCTGTAGTGCCTTGCGGTCGGAGGCCGAGCAGTTGCCATACCAGGCAGTGAAGCAACCAGTCAGGATGCTGTCGATGGTGCAGCTGTAGAACTTTTTGAGGATCTGAGGACACATGCCAAATCTTTTCAGTCTCCTGAGGGGAAATAGGCTTTGTCGTGCCCTCTTCACGACTGTCTTGGTGTGTTTGGACCATGATAGTTTGTTGATGAGAATAAAGTGAAGATATCATAGGTGTTAGGAGCAGGAAATACTGTGTGGTCCAAGACGGTATCAACAGTTCCATAATCTATGATTTCATAATATTAGCATAAAATAATCTATCTTCAAACCTTTGAAAAGAGCCGTTGCATCAAAAGCAGCGGAAACAAACTCAGACCCCCTCAGTTATGGGTACACTCAAAATGGCCACCGGTCCACCCATCATAGAACACTGACTTGAATGGGGAATTCTTATTTTAATCCCCTCTAGTAATATTCCAGTAATTCTATTTCTATGAACACATCTGTCTATATGTGATCCCACAGGGTCATGACGAAGTTAAATCTAGAATCTCACTGATGACCCTATAAGCCACTTACCACTACCTGCATTAGCATGACCTTTCATCTTTAATTTAATGCTGTAATGCTGTAGTTCAGTAACACTAAGACACCTTTTCTGTCCATCTGTGTTTCCACAGGGCATTGACAGAGTTGCCTCTCTACGCTACTGATGACCCTGTAAGACACAGTACCAGTACTTGCATTAGAGATCCACCTGACCTTTGACCCTGTCATGGAGGACGCGACGGGGGTGCATACGGATGGGAACTCTCTGCTCAAGGCCGTGTTCCTGAGTCGACTGCGTCTGACACGCCTGCTGCTGGAGGGAGGGGCTTACATCAACGAGAGCAACGAGCGTGGCGAGACGCCCCTCATGGTGGCGTGCCGGACACGCCACACGGACGCACAGAGCGTGCCCAAACACAAGATGGTTCGGTAAGTAAGCTACTAGTCCATGACACCTCGTATGGGTTGGGTTGGTGTTTAGTGTTAAGGAGTAGAAAGTAAACACTGCAGAGCAGGGGCCCAATTGTATCCCCAATGGGCCAGTGTGTGTGCAGGCTTTCATTCCAGCCGAAACAATTACACACCTGACTTAAATAATACATTGAAGACTATGATTGGATCAAATCCTGCACCAACACCTGCCCTTCATGAATAATATTGGCCACCCCTGCCCTACCGTAGGGTAGCCAAGTAAAAATACACTTTACCTCCTCTTCAGGAGTTTACTGATCCACAGGGTATTGATCAACATGTCATCCATGTTCCCCCACAGGTACTTGCTGGAGAGTGGTGCTGACCCAAACATCCAGGATAAGGCCGGTAAGACGGCCCTGATGCATACGTGTCTGGAGCAGGCCGGAGCGGACGTCCTCTCTCTGCTGCTGGGGAGTGGAGCCGACCCCAGTCTGAACGACCACTCTGGCTCCTCAGCTCTGGTCTATGCTGTCAATGCAGGGGACGAGGAGGCCCTGAAAGTCCTACTGGATGCCTGCAAGGCCAAGGGCAAGGAGGTGAGGATGTGGGTTAGATTCCTGCTTGGGTAGGGTTGCAAAATACAGGTAATTTTCCCCAAATTCCTAGGTTTTCCAGAAATCCTGGTTGGATGATTCTAGATTTCCTGCTTATTAACTTTCTATTACTATTCCAACCAGGATTTCTGGAAAACCTGGGAATTTTGGGAAAGTTGCCTAATTTTTGCAACCCTACGCTGGGGCCAAATGTATACATGCTCTACTATAAGTCACTTTTGGATAAAAGCTTCTGCTAAATGGCATGTAATATATTTTATTATGTATTATATTATTTATATTATATTACATTATAGGTCATCATCATCACCACGGACAAGCTGCCGTCGGGACGCCAGATGACCAAGCAGTACCTGAACGTGCCTCCACCGCCCGACCTGGAGGAGCGCCTGCACTGCACCCCTGGCTCGGCCGCCTGCTGTATGTCCCCCTCAGAGATCCAGCTCCGCACCCCTCCGCAGGGCTCCTCCGCCACCGCCTCCCCCCAGCCAGGGAGCCCCCTCTTGGGCCTCAGGGAGCACCACCACCAGGGTGGAGGAAGGGGAACTCCCATCTCTGGTTCTACTGGTTCTGGTTCTTCTCAGCCGGGCTCCCCGACCAGGGACCCTAGGCCGTTACTAGGCCCAAGTCCTGGGGTGGCGAAGCTGCTCCATCTCCAGCGGCTCCACTCAGAGCCCTGGCTGAAGATCCCTCCATCCCTGCTGCTGAAGCAGAGCAAGGCCTCCAGGTAGGTAGCCAAGAGAAGCAGGGGTTCAAATCCCATGTCTGTCAGGAAAAAAATATTTTTGGAGTGGGCGGCAACCGGAAGGTTGCTAGCATCAGTGTCCTAGATGCCATCACCTACTAATGTGCCCTTGAAGACACTTAACCCCTAAACTGCTCAAAGGGCACTGCACTAGTTGCTGCCCATTGCTCCAGCCTCTCCAACCAAATGTGTATTTGTGTGTATGTGTGTGGTTTATTTCAGCCTGACCGAGGAGCTGCTGGACATCCCCCCAGAGGAGGAGCTCTCCTTCTGGGTCAACGGCCTGGCCTTCTCTGGGTCCGGAAGGGCAGGGCCTGGGTTACAGCCGACCATCGCCCGCAACCAGAGCATCGATGCCAAAGACGCCACAGGGCTGCTAAGGGCCCTGGAGCAGGTCATAATAATAATAATAATAATAATAATAATAATAATAATAATAATAATAATAATAACAAATATTATCATGTGTCTGTATAATAATTAATTTTGCCATATATTCTTTGTATCTCAGGTGGCTGGGAGCGAGGGAGGCGGAGGAGGACGAAGGAGAGGCCTGAGTAGGAAGATGTCTTATGACAGCACTGCAGCTTCTTCCCACCCCAACCTCTTGCACCGGGGGGATGGAGGAGGCTGCCCCAACTGTCCCTGCGGCGGCCATGAACCAGTCCTCCCAGTGGACAAAATCTCCCTAGACTGCTGCCTCCCTAACCTGGCCGTGTCCAGCCTAAGGAACGTAGTCCGCCGCCGCAACATCGGCATGGACCACTATAGCTCCGACTCCCAGCTGCCCCAGTTCGGCCACAGCAGCCACCCAGAGTGTAATGAATCTAACAGAGGCATAGGGGGTGGTGTAGGGGGAACTGAGAAGCGTAAGCTGGTCACCAGCCGGTCATCCACCCTGTCAGGCTCCAGGGAGTCCCTGGAGAGCGCTGCCCAGAGAAGGGGACCCGCGAACCTGGAGAGAAGAGGCTCGGGGGCCCTGCTCCTGGATCACATCTCCCACACCAGGCCAGGATACCTGCCTCCTCTCAACCCCAAAGCACCCATACCCGACATCGGGGTCAGCCCCTTCTCAACCTGCCCCGGCCTGAGTGGGAGCACCAAAGCACTGAATCTGAATGGGGGTGTTGCAGCAGGGTCAAAGCCTCTTGTCCCCTGCGCACCTTCCTTCCCCAGGGATCTGAAGTCTAAGACACTGCTGAGGAGACACTCCATGCAGACTGAGCAGATTAAACAGCTGGTCAACTTCGAGGAGCTCTTCAGCCACTAAGACGAACAATGCTAGCCTGGTCCCAGATCTATTCGTGCTGTCTTGTTAACCCCGGGCCTATAGTCATTGTTACGCCTTGTCAAAACAGCACAAACAGTTCTGGGACCAGACTAGAACTCTGCATTTTCTTTGTGTGTCTGACTACTGTGTGCTTTGCTTCCTATGTCAAGCGCTGTTGATGCTGTGTGACCATAACATTGTCAACAAAGAACTTGTGCCTTCTTACCAGAAGTCTATTATTCCTCATCCCAGCTTTTTCAATGTGCTTAATTACACTTCTTTTGACAACCAGACTTGCAATTCCATCAAGCTCAGGAAGGAATAGAGGAATTACGATCAGAACATCAGAACCATGGATAACACGACAGCTCTTCTTTGATCAATTGATCAATCAATATCCGTTTGAAGTCTGAGAGCAGAAATCTCATGGCACTTCTCCTCAGGACATCTAACAACAGACAGAGATGCTTTTAACACATGGAATGAACTGGAATGAACTTCAGTGGAGGCCTTGAATCCTATAAGGACAAGGACAGAAGAATTTACTCTTCAAAGGGAAGGGGGAGTGAGTCATTCTCTGACTAAATCAATGACAGATTGAAAGCAATGGATTTGGCAACACAGAACAAACACATCTGGGACTCAGGCTAACTCCTCTGACTGTGGAAGATCTAAGTCAATAAGGAAAATATGTATCTTTGTCACTGGGAAGAATGAACACCAAATAAAAAACAAGACAATCAAGATTCTTGATCACGAATATAAATGTTCTGCTTGAAAGTGCTTAGTAAGAATTTCAGAGCATCCAATTATAGTATTTACAGAGTATTTATTCAACACTGCTGTTTTGTACACTATTTGACGAGGTAGTTGTTGTGTTGCCTTTCGCTTGTTCTGTTGTGCTCCTTTACTGCTAATAAACTGCTTTACGGCCCTCTCCTCTTTTCTCTAAAACACCAAGTCACTCGGCGCCAGCAGTGGTGCCTGGAGAAGTGGGTATACTCTAATTTTGCCCAAAATATCCCGATCAGTAAAGGAAAGGCGCTCTGTGTGAAAAATTATATGAGAAACAATGACCCTGAACCCTTGAAAATGATCTATCCTATATTGGTCTTTCACAGTCAGTCCAACCCAACCTGTACTGTGCAAGTAGGCCTACTATTGAAACAGATAAATGAGGCTGTCAACTGAGTCAGAAATTCACATTATTTTGTTCAGGTTTTCGCTTTCAAAGTCACACTTTCTTAATAGAAAAACAACAACATTTGATGTTGTAAGTACATAACAATGCTTAAACCACATCAGGAGACCACTATTAAGGGTCTTTAGTTACCCTTTAATTCTGTCACACTAGCCTTCGCTTTGGCTCCCCCTCCTGTCCAGCTCAGGCATTCGGCGTTGCCGGCCTTCTAGCTGCTGCCGAACCTCCTGCTAGCAAACGCCCTTCACTCATCAAACCCGGACTTGTCTCGTCATCATTACGCACACCTGGTTCCAATCCCCACTCTATCACTGTATATATACGCCCTCTGTCATTTGTCTTTGTCGGTCATTGTTTATGTTGCTTGTTTTCCTGAGAGGAATCTCTCCTACTATTTCCTGAGTACTTTATATTTTGCACTGTGGGTTTCGTCCCGCTTTAAGCTATGGTGCTTTAATACATTCAGTAGTTCTAAACCTGCAACTGCCGCCTGCCTACTCCTCTCTACACTTGTGACAGAATGACCGACCCAAGAAAACCGGAGGCAGCAGGCCACGACTCGTGCCTGGAGCACCTCGGTACTGCCATGGACGAGGTGATCCGGAACGTACGCCTAACGGCAGGCTACACCTCCACCTTCCCAGCTCCTCACGGTCATTCCAGCCACCCCACCACCATCCACATCACCCGGTCCGATCAGCAACATCCACTGCCCCTCCTGATGTGGTTTGACGGCACCCCAGCTCACTGTAGGGGGTTTCTCCTGCACCTGCACGTCATGCCGGGACGGCCTTCGAGAGGGACAAGGTGGCCTTGGTGATTTCAGTGCTGACAGGCCGGGCTCTGGAGTGGGCGCACGCCTTCTGGGAGAGGGACGGTCCAGAAGTACAGTCCTAAGAGTGCTTCACCCAACTCTTCCATGCTGTTTTCGACCACCCAACAGAGGGCTGAGAGGGAGGTGAGAGTCTCCTCCATCTGCGCAAGCGGTCCAGGACAGCTTCTGAGTACGCTCTGGATTTCCAGACGGTGGCTGCGTCCACTGGCTGGAACGACCAGGCCCTGTTGACGGTTTACCGCAGCGGGCTACAGGTGGACGTCCAGACCGAGCTGGCCTGTCGCGATGAGGACCTCACGCTGGACCAGCTCATCGCCATGGCCATCCACCTGGATAATCTCCTGCGTGCCCGTCGTTGCCCATCCCAGGGGTTCGGGTCTCTGCCAGGAACCTCCAGCAAGACTGAGCCCATGGAGGTGGGCACGATGCACCTTCCCCCAGAAGAACGTCAACGCCGCCTTCAACAGGGTCTCTGCTCCTACTGCGGGAAGTCGGACCACCCCTGGAACACCTGTCCCAGAAGGAGAACCAGGTAAGGAAGCAACAGGCAGAGGAGCGCTCCTGCACCTTCCCAGGTAGGCGTGGACGTGCCTTGCTCCTCTCTGTCCACCCAGCCTGACCTAGTAGACTCAGGTGCTCCAGGCAATTTCCTAGACCGGTCAGTGGCCTTATCATTACACATTCATCTAGTCCCTTTACAACCCCCTATCCCAGTCCATTCCCTAGACAACCGTCCCATAGGAACAGGAATGGTGAGCCAGACCACGATTCCCATTTCCCTTACAGTTGATCACAACCACCAGGAACGCATTACGTTCATCATCTTAGACTCTCCTGCACACCCCGTAGTTTTAGGTCTCCCCTGGTTACAGTTGCATAACCCCAGTATATCGTGGACAGAGAGGAGGGCTCTTTCGAAGACTCATGCCACGTGCCTGCCCCCTCATCGCCCATGGGACTGGACTATCGACATACTGCCTGGTTCTACCCTCTCACGGGGGCACATCTACCCTCTCTCGCATGCAGAGACCGAAGCCATGGAGGTCTACATCCAGGAGGCGCTGGCCCAAGGATTCCTCTGTCCGTCCACCTCTACGGTCTCTTCCAGCTCCTTTTTTTTGAAGAAGAAGGACAGAGGTCTCCGCCCCTGTATCTATTACCGGACACTGAATAAGGCTACAGTTAAATTCAGTTATCCCCTGGCTCTCATACCCACTGTGATCGAACAGATGCACGGTGCTAAGTACTTTTCCAAATTGGATTTACGCAGTACCTACAACCTGGTGCGCATCAGAGAGGGGGATGAATGGAAGTCCGCCTTCAGCACCAGCACCGGGTACTATGAATACAGGGTAATGCCCTAAGACCTGACAAATGCACCCTCGGTGTTCCAATCCTTCATTAACGAGATGTTTAGAGACATGTTGGGTCGCTCTGTAGTGGTGTAGATAGACGACATCTTGGTGTACTCCACGCGAGCAACATGTCTCTCATGTCAGGTCCATTTTGGAGAGGCTGATAGGGCATCACCTGTATGCCAAGGCGGAGAAGTGACTTTTCTTCCAGCAGGTGGTCTCCTTCCTGGGCTATCGGATATCCAACGCAGGAGTGGAGATGGAAGAACAGAAGGTCAGTGCAGTATGGTCATGGCCTGTTTCCTCCAACATCAAGGCGGTGCAGCGCTTCCTAGGTTTTTCCAACTATTTCAGGCGCTTCATTAGGGGTTTCTGCCCAGTGGTGGCCCCTCTCACCTCCCTCCTGAAGGGAGGTCCTCGACAGCTGCGCTGGACTGGGGAGGGCAACGAAGCCTTTTGCGCGCTCAAGGAACGGTTTACGAACGCAACGGTTCTGGCTCACCCTGACCCATCTCTGCCCTTCATCGTGGAGGTGGATGCCTCCAAGGTTGGAGTAGGGGCTGTTCTCTCCCAATGTACTGGACCGCCGCCTAAACTCCATCCATGCGCCTTCTACTCACGGAAGCTGTCTCCTGTGGAGCGGAATTACGACGTGGGGGATCGTGAGTTGTTGGCCGTCAAGAAGACGCTGAAGGCATGGCGGCACTGGCTGGAGGGTGCGCAACACCCATTCCTTGTCTGGACGGACCACCAGAACCTAGAGTACATTCGAGCAGCCAAGAGGCTGAACCTGCGTCAGGCCAGGTGGGCCCTATTCTTCACCAGGTTTGACTTTACCCTCTCATACCGGCCGGGATCTAAGAACGTTAAGGCTGATGCGTGGTCCCGGGTGTGTGACACAGAGGATCGGAGGGAGGATGTGACACCCATTATTCCCCTGTCCCGCATTGTGGCTTTTGTCGTGTGGAATGTGGACGCGGACATCCGTCGAGCCCTGCGACAGGAGCCCTCACCTGCCCACTGTCCCGAGGGGCATATCTACGTGCCCTCTGATGTGCGGGACTGTCTCCTCGCCTGGGCACACACAGCACCTGTGTCAGGGCACCTGGGTATAGCCCGTACTATCGACTGTCTCTCCGCCAAGTACTGGTGGCCCACCTTGGCCCGGGACATCCGGGTTTACTTCTCTTCCTAATCCACCTGCGCACAGAGAAAGACCCCCGAGACACCTCCCCTATGACAACCTCCACCCGCTGCAGGTTCCACATGACCCAGGTCCCATCTCTCCTGTGGACTTTGTCACAGACCTTCCCCACTCGGAGGGGTACACCTCTGTCCTGGTCGTTGTGGACCGGTTTTCCAAAGCCTGTCATTTGATTCCTCTGCCTGGTCTCCTTACGGCCATGCAGACCGCGGAGGCTCTCATCTTTCACGGAGGATATCGTGTCTGACCGTGGTCCTCAGTTCACCTCCCGTGTCTGGAAGGCCTTCATGGAACAACTTGGGGTCACGGTCAGACTCTCCTCCGGGTACCGTCCCCAATCAAATGGGCAGATGGAAAGGGTAAATAAGGAACTGGGTAGGTACCTTCGTAGTTACTGTCAGGACC